CATGGGGACATGGGGACAGTGGGGACATGGGGCATGGGGACATGGGACATGGGGACAGTGGGGACATGGGGCATGGGGACATGGGGACAGTGGGGACATGGGGCATGGGGACATGGGACATGGGGACAGTGGGGACATGGGTCATGGGGACATGGGGACAGTGAGGACATGGGGCATGGGGACATGGGGCATGGGTTATGGGGACAGTGGGGACAGTGGGGACATTGAGGACATGGGGATGGTGGGGACATGGGGACATGGGACATGGGGACAGTGGGGACATGGGTCATGGGGACATTGAGGACATGGGAACATAGGGACAGTAGGGACATAGGGCATGGGGACAGTGGGGACATGGGACAGTGGGGACATGGGGACATGGGGACAATGGGGTCATGGGGACATGGAGACAGTGGGGACATGGGGACATGGGTCATGGGGACATGGGGACAGTGGGGACACAGGGACAGTGGGGGCATGGGGCATGGGGCATGGGGACATGGGACAGTGGGGACATGGGGCATGGGGACATGGGAACATGGGGACAGTGGGGACATGGGACGTGGGGACATGGGGACAGTGAAGATGGAAGACTACAGGGATGGTGGAGCCTGGCGGGGGTGGAGCCCAGAGGGAGGTGCGGGCAGACCTGGGACGTGGGGTGGGACCCAGAGGACTCTGAGGGATGGATGTGGGGCGGGTTCAGGGGGACTCAAGGGCCCCATGTGCCCTTGGCTCCGGGGCTGATGGCCCTCAGACAAAGGGGAAGAGGGAGGTGGGGACCGGACGGTGTGGGCGAGAATCTCAGCCCGGCGGGCTGTGCTGGACTTGGGGCACCCTCGGGGAGCCTGGGGACGGCTGTCGCCTCTGCACCTGCTCCCGGAAGGAGCAGGGACTCCCGTCCAGGGCTGTCCCTGGGCTGAGGGGCCAGGAAGTGTGTGGACGGGACTCACCCTTCTGCGTGTGGATCCCCTGGCCCAGGCAGAGCACTGCAAGAGAAGCCCCAGTGAGGGACACGCCGGCCACCGGGTCCCTCCTGGGGTCAGCACGCTGCCGGCGTGACACAGCCGCGTGCCCTCCACGCCACCCTCAGTCAGCATGCCCCCCAGCAGAGCTTCCTCCCGTCTCCGGCTGCAGACGGCTCCCTGAGAGTCCGAACCAGGCACCCCCTGGGGCCTTGCCTGTGTCTGAACCCCCTCGCCCCCCGCCGTCCCGGCCTCTAGCACGCCCGTCACAGGGCCTGGTCCCCACAGCTGGTCAGGCCCAGGGGACAGAGCGGCGGGGCCTGCAGGCACTGCTCTCCCTGAGGGCCAACCGAGGCGAGGCCTGGACCCCGCTGGGGTCCCCTCCCCTGCCCGTGCCCTCCGCACTCACGGAGGCCCAGGAGGTGGACGGGCTGGTGGGACATGGCCGGCCTCTCTGCGCTGCCCCGGTCCTGGGGCGGCTGGACAGGGGCCTGCGGGCCGGGATGTGAGCAGGAAGGGCTTGGAGGGCTGTGGTCTCGCAGGAAGGAAGTGGGGGGGGGGGCAGGCCAAGCCCTACCTTCCTCTTTCTGATCACAGGCAGGTCTTGATTTCTGGAAGGCGTCTGTGGTGAGACATGGCGTCCGCAGGCAGAACTCCTGTCCAGAGGAGGCCCGCCCGGTGTTACCTGGTGACTGACCGACGGACAGACAGAGGGCCGACAGGGAGGCAGAGGTACGGAGCTGATGGGTGCTGAGTGGGCGGATGGTACGTACAGACATGCGGGGAGCTGGGTTCAAACGCAGACGTGGGGGCTTCGAGGTGCTGGTGTGGTAGAGACACAGACATGATGGGACGCCGGATAAAGAGACGACAGACCTTCACACACGTAGATGCACGGAGAGGACCAGAGCCCGGCGGGAAGGTCCACAGTGACACGAGACACAGGCAGAGGGCGGGCGGCACAGAAAGGGGTTCTGGCTCCCCTTCTGCTCCTAACCGCCTGGCTCTTCTCATACTGCACGTTCCCCACAGGCAGCAGGGGATCTAGAAATTCTCCCGAAGACGTCATGTTGTCATGGGGGAGGGGCGGTGCCCAGCGAGGCAGGGGCAGCTGGGAAGGACACCAGGCAGGTCCCCCTCATGCTCTCCAGGCGGGTGGCACTCTGCGCAGGTGGGGCCGGTGAGTCTGGGCTGTGCTCTGCACACTCACCCCTGCCCCCCAGCGGGCCGGGTTAGGGGTGCTGTCGGGGCTGGAGGAGGGGGAGGCCAGACAAGAGGGGTCCCCTGCTCTCAGAGTCCCCAGTTCTAACCGAAAGCCCTGGAGCCCTGGGTGCACTAGACAGTGACGTTCGTCGGGACGCTGGCGGGCAGGGCTTCCTGTGCCGCTGGGGCTGCGATGGGGCTGGGCTCCCGTCTGGACCCCCAGGGGCCGGAGCACAGGACTGTGTCCAGGCAGGGGTCTGCAGCCCCCCCACCCCCGTGGGCGACGCCGAGCCCATCAGCACCTCCCCCTGTGGTTTGCCGCCCTCCCAGGCCCAGAGCCCCGGGGCTTCTGCGCTCCCTGATTCTCACCAGCCTCTATTCCAGGCTGCGGCCCGACGGCTCAGCGAGGCCGGCGCGCCTTTCGCGGTTCCATGTCCAGTGGCCTCGTCCGCATTCTGTGTCCCCTGCTCACACTGGGGAGGAAGGCGGAGGACCCCGTTGTGTCCTGGGGCTTCTAGGACCCACACTGACCTCCCAGGGGAGGGGCCCAAGAGGAGGGGACAGACAAGGGAAAGGCCTGGGGCTTTTTAGGGTCAGGGCCCAAGGGAGTGTCCGGCTGAGCCACAGACAACTGGGCTCACAGGCAGAGCTGGGGTCCAGAGAAGGGAGGGGAGGTCTGACGGGGACAGAGGGGGGTCTGTGGTGTCCTCCTGGACTGGGGTGGCCCAGCCTCTCCAGGGCCCAGACCTGCGACTCTTCCCAGACCTGGTGAGAAGGCCCAGTGGAGACCCACTGTAGCCGCTGTTTCTCAAGGACAAGAGAATCAATATCTATCTACATATACGTATATCAATAGATCAATATCATGGTCATCTATGCCTGCCATCCCTGCGGGCATCAAGGCCCACGTGCTTTATGACTCTCGGCCTGAACCTGCACATCTGACCCCCCGACCTCCATGTTCCCCAGCCTCGGCCAAACAGAAGCTCCAGGGACTCTGCGGTGAGACACAAGCCAGGAAGCAGCCGTGTGGACTCAGGGTCGGGGTGGCCCCAGCGGAGGCCGCCCCCCACCCACTGCAGGGAATCCGGGCTCTGGGGTCAGAGCCACTCTCCCCGGAAGAGCACTGCTCTTTCTCCGTGAGAGCACCCAGCCTGGATTCCCAGAGAAGGTGGGAAAAGGTGGAGACGCTCTCTGTGGAAACTCACCCCTGCAGAAAGACCCCAACGCCTGCCCTGTCCTGCCTCCCAAATAGCGACCCGTGTTTAGGTGATGTTGCCCAGGCAGGGACCTCGAGGAGGGGCTGGGGCTCTGGAGAAGGGGCTACAGACCCCCGAGGAGGGCGTGTGGAAGCCCAGGTGTGCAAGCCTTTGATGGATTTCAGCAAAAAAGCAGTTGAAGGAGGGCCTCTGGATTATTTCTCATGCCGGGAAAGAAAAAAATGATAAATGTGTCCGACCTCAGCTCAGGTCATGATCTCGCGGTTCGTGGGTTCGAGCCCCGCATCGGGCTCTGTGCTGACTGCCAGCTCAGAGCCTGGAGCCTGTTTCAGTCTGTGACTCCCTCTCTCTCTGACCCTCCCCTGCTCACGCTGTCTCTCTCTCTCTCAGAAATAAATTGAAAAAAAAAAACATTAAAAAAAAGATGCATGTGCTCGAAAACTCTGAGAGAAGTTGTAACACGAGCACAGACGCTGCTTTATTTCATCGAAAAAATGTTAAAACCCATCTGTTAGGAAATTGAAACCTGGACAAGTTGTGGATTCTGCATACACGTGAACGTACCTTCATGGGCGTGTGTTAGAGGTGTGTGTGCTCATGCGTGTGTATGTGTGCATGTGTGCGTGAGTGTGTGTGTGTAGCAGAACAAGATGTAATGCAGTTCAGCAGAAGAAATAAAACGACTTTGTCTATCAGTGACCTGATCTCACTTAGGATCAGGGACTACACGCACACACACGCCCTTTCACACACACGCTCACACCCGCTCACACACGCTTACGCACGCACACCCACACGTGCTCACACACACACAGCCCTCCCCCCAATCACTACAAACGCTCCTGTGTCTCGGCCCGTCTCCAGGATGGTGTCCCAGGTGCGGGGAGCAGGGGGTATGTGTCCTGCTGCTCGCCCCTGAGTCCGAGCTGACTGGGGCCTGCGGGGTTTGCTCACCAGCTTGCCGGGGGCCCAGCTGGTGTCTCTGTCCCCTGGTCTCAGGGTCCAGCCTTTCTCTGCTCCCTTGGGGCCTGGGGACCCTGCGGGGGATCTCAACGGCCCCTTTGTCCCAGGGGGTTAGTGGACGTGCGTGGGCGCCCGCTCCTGCCCCCTGCGGCCCGGGTGGGATGTCCCCTCCCACCGCGACGGCCCCCTGGCGTTCACCCCCAGGGCACCCCTCCGGGATTGGCGGAGTCCCAGGCGCAGGGGGACCCTCCCGCCCTGCCCGGCCACACGGAGCCGCCAGGGTGCTATACGAGGCTCGTCCTCCAGGGGGCGCGCGGGGGCCGCGCAGCCCCAGGGACCTGCCTCCTGCGGGAAGTCCGCACCCCGGGGCGCGAGTGCTGACCCCTGGGGCTGGGGCTGGAGGCCCGGGAGGGAAGCCCGGGCCAGGCCGTCCGCTGTCCGCCCTCTGCTCTCCCCGCCGAGCCCCGAGACGGAAGGGGTGTGGGCTTCCTCTCGCTCTCCCTCCAAACCCCCAAAGCGCTTCTGCGGCCCCTGCGGCCTCACTGCCCGGGCTCACGGGCCTCCTCGTCCCCGGAGCAGGTGCCCGGCCTGCGGGCGCTCCTGCTCCGGGCGGGGGCGGGGGGGACAGAATATTCTGGCGTCGCCGCTGTCCCGACGCGCGGCTGTGCGCCCTTCCCTTGCTAGCAGCCTGGCTCAGGTGAGAGTGGAACAAGCCAGGGTTTAAGGGAAGATGCACCGTTCTGTGATGGTTGCTAGTGGGTACAACCTGCCTGGGGGTGGGGGTGGGGGTCCAGAGAGCTGGGAAAACGGGACTTGGGCGCCAGTCTGTGAGCGCGGTTCTGAAAGGTTCGCATTTGGTTCCGTGGGCTGAGGGACGAGGCCCGCCCTCCTCGCGGGGACGGCAGCTTCCACCCCCCGAGGGCCCGGGTGGGACAGAAAGGGGAGGGGGGCCGATTCTCTCTCTCCGGAGCCGGACAACCCTTCCCTCCTGTCCAGGACCTCGTCGCGCCCGGTCTCGGCCTGCGGCCTGGCGCTGATTTATCCCACGGGCTCTCCTCCTCTCTGCGGCCAGGTAGCAGGTGGTGGGGCTTCTGGCTTCTATAACCCATGAGCTGATTCTCATAATAAATACATATTTAAATATATAGGCACTTAAATTTATATATATAAGTTGTACTTAAATATATAATTTATATTTAAAACATTATATGTCTAAATATAATTTATGTAACTTCTTATTTGACATGTCTTTGGAGGCAAAGGGAAATCAAAACAATTGAACTATTGGGACCTCATCAAGATAAAAAGCTTCTGCACAGCAATGGAAACCATCCATTAAACTGAAAGGCAACCTACCAAAAGGGAGAAGATATTCTCAAATGACATATCAGATAAAAGGTTAGTAACCCAAATCTAAAAAGAACTTACCAAATTCAACACACAAACAAACAAAATACAAATGATCCAGTGACGAAATGGGCAAAAGACATGAATAGACACTTTTCCAAAGAAGACATCCAGATGGCTAACAGACACCTGAAACGATGCTCAACATCACTCAGCGTCAGGGAAAAAGAAATCAAAACCACAATGAGATACGACCTCACACCTGACAGAATGGCTAAAATTCACAGCCCAGGCAACAACAGGTGTTGGCGAGGATGTGGAGAAAGAGGAACCCTTTTGCATTGCTGGTGGGAATGCAAATTGGTGCAGCCACTCTGGAAAAACAGTATGGAGGTTCCTAAAAAAAATTTAAAATAGGACTACCCTACGACCCAGCAATTGCAGTACTAGGTACTTATCCAAGGGATGCAGGAGTGCTGATTCGAAGGGGCACATGCACCCCAGTGTTTATAGCAGTGCTATCAATAATAGCCAAATTATGGAAAGAGCCCACGTGTCCATTGTCTGATCAGTGGATAAAGAAGATGTGGTGTATTTATACAATGAAATACTACTCTGCAATCAAAAAGAATGAAATCTTGCCATTTGCAACAATGTGGATGGAAATAGAGTGCATTATGCTAAGTGAAATCAGTCACAGAGAGACAGATATCATATGATTTCACTCATATGTGGAATTTGAGAAACTCGACAGATGAACGTAGGGGAAGGGAAGGAAAAATAAGATAAAAACAGAGAGGGAGGCAAACCATAAGAGATTCTTAAATACAGAGAACAAAACATTGCTGGATTGGGGGGGCAGTGTTAAATGGGGGAGGGGCATTAAGCAGGATGCTTTTAGGGATGAGCCCTGGGTGTCATATGTGAGTGATGAATCACTGGGCTCTTCTCCTGAAGCCAAGACTACACTGTATGCTAACTAACTTGAATTTAAATTCAAAGTAAAAACAAGACAGAACATAGATAGATAGATAGATAGATAGATAGATAGATAGATAGATGATAGATAGATAGATAGATTCACTCTTTGAAAAAGAGAGGCTTTGTCTCACATGAAAAAGAGAAATTTGGTATACAACGCAATGAAGAAAACAAAGAGAATACAGGTACAGGGTTAGGAAGCAGAGGAAAAACCTTGAATATGAATAGAAATTAACCTTGAGTACAGACAGAAAATCAAACTCCATGCATATTAAAACTGTGTTGGAAAGCCATGCGCCCACCCTCTCTGAGACAGGGCAGACCCTGGCCGGCTGGCGAGGTGCAGCCTGTCCTGCGGTCACCGAGAGGAGCCTCCATATGCAGCCCGCAGTCCCCGCCACTCAGAGCTGGCCGAGTGAGGCCAAGCTAACTAAGGATCAGTCCCCAGTTTCTTCAGGAAAAATGGAGAAAGGAATAGAACATGTTCTGGAGGGTGTGTATGAAGATCAAAATGTGTTACTGTTGGGGCTCCTGGCTGCCTCAGTCGGTGGACCTGGTGACGCCTGGTCTTGCGGACCATCCATGGTGGATGTAGAGATTACTTTAAAAAAAGTCCTTTAAAAATTTGTAAGATAGCAGTTGAACCATTATAAGCTAGATGAGTTTATGTTGAATATTTATTTCTTTAAGGACCACTGTGGGGATGGGGCTCCTGGGTGGCTCAGTCGGTTGAGCATCCCGCTTCGGCTCAGATCATGATCTCACGGATCATGGGTTTGAGCCCCGCGTCGGGCTCTGTGCTGACAGCTCAGAGCCTGGAGCCTGTTTCGGATTCTGTGTCTCCCTCTTTCTCTGACCCTCCCCTGCTCACGCTGTCTGTATCTCTCTCTCAGAAATAAATAAAAAAATTTTTTAAAAAGGATCACTGTGGGGCTTTAAAAATATTTTTATTATTTTTGAGAGACAGAGAGAGACAGAGTGTGAGCAAGGGTGGGGCAGAGAGAGAGGGAGACACAGAATCTGAAGCAGCTCCAGGGTCTGACGGCACAGAGCCCGACGTGGGGCTTGAACTCAAGGACCACGAGATCATGACTGAGCCAAAGTTGGATGCTTAACCGACTGAACCACCCAGGTGCTCCTGTTTAGGTCGAATTAAAAAAAAATATATGTTTTTGTAGGGGCGCCTGGGTGGCTCAGTCAACTCTCGGGTTTGGCTCAGGTCATGATCTCATGATTTGGGGGACTGAGCCCCACAGTCCCTGGTATCAGTGTGGAGTTTGCTTGGGATTTTTTCTCTCCATCTCTCTCTGCTCCTGCCCTACTCATGCTCTCTCTCAAAATTAATTAAAAACCTTAAAATAAAAACATTTTTTAATATATAATAAGATATTTAGTGCAAGACCTACATAGCAGGCAGACAGGGTTCTTACCACCACCCCCCCAAAGAAATAAAAGACACAAAATTCAAACAGATGGGCCACTAATAGGGTTCCTGGGAGGCTCAGTCAGACAGTTGACTTTGGCTCAGGTCATGATCTCACAGTTTGTGAGTTCGAGCCCCTTGTCGGGCTCTGTGCTGACACCTCAGAACCTGGAGCTGCTTCAGATTCTTTGTCTCCTTCTCTCTCTGCCCCTCCCCCACTCACACTCTGTTTCTCTCTCTCAAACATATGTAAACATTTAAAAAAAAAAAAAAAAGAAAGAAAGAAAGAATGAGCCACTAATGCTCCCTAGCAGTTGTCAGGGTAACGTTCCTTTAAAAACCCAAGTGGAGTCCTCGAGGCTGACCCCATAAGTCTAGCAGGGACACAACACATACGGCCCACATTGGTTCGGGGCTCTCCTGGCCCCGAGGGGGGTGCCTGAGACACCCCATATCCTCTGGTGGCACAGCTGGTCCCACTCGGGGACTTGGTTGTGCAGACCCCCGGTGTTTGCTGTAGAGGCAGCATGGGGCTGCCTTGTTTATAAACCCTGTAGCAATCAGCAACAGTGGTAAGTAATCAAGTGGGCAATTGTGGACAGCAGCCTCATCTGTAGGTTAGGAAACAACAGGGGGGAGGCACCTGGGTGGCCCAGTCGGTGGAGCGTCCGACTCTTGATTCTGGCTCAGGTCAGTTTCTCACAGATCCCGGGATCTGGCCCGCGTCAGGCTCCACGCTGGCAGTGCAGAGCCTGTTTGGGATTCTCTCTCCTTCTCCCTCTCTCTGCCCCTCCCCCACTCACACTTGCACAGTCTCTCTCAAAAATAAAAATAAAATAAATAACGGCTCCATGAGGTGCACCCACAAGGTTAGACCCTGGGGGTCAGAGGAGAGAGGTGTGAGGACACCTCCCAGCTGTGGAATTCGGAGACTATATAACGTGAAACAGAAAATGAAGAGCAGATGCAGGGAAATATGGCCACCTGCTCTCTGCCCAGCACAAGCCTGGGGGCTCTCGGGCAACAGCCCCCAAGGTGCCCACACCCTGTTCCTAGGCCAACACCCTGTCACTGCCTGAATGTGTGTGATTAACTTCCCACACAAGCAAACAGGAAAAAGCGAGCCCAGCTCAGCAGTAGGGTGATTTTAAAATCCTTGGGACGCCTGGGTGGCTCAGTTGGTTGAGCATCTGACTTCGGCTCAGGTCATGATCTCACGGATTATGGGTTTGAGTCCCACATTGGGCTCTGTACTGACAGTGCAGAGCCTGCTTGGGATCCTCTGACTCCATCTCTCTCTGCCCCTCCCCTGCTTGCTCACTCTCTCTCTCTCTCTCAAAAATGCATAAACTGGCACAAAAACAGACACATAGACCAATGGAACAGAATTGAGAACTCAGAAGTGGACCCAAAAGTATACAGCCAACTGATCTTTGACAAAGCAGGAAAGAATATCCAATGGAAAAAAGACAGCCTTTTTAACAGATGGTGTTGGGAGAATTGGACAGCAACATGCAGAAGAATGAAACTAGAT